TTTTTTTTTTGGGGGGGGGGTTAACCATAAAAGTATTGTTTTTCATACAAAGATCTTTTCTAAAGTGTTTATGTACTGTATATGTACAAAATATTTTAATACAGTTTAAATTGATTTGCACTGATGATTAGGTTGAGGTTTTTCGAACATTTCCAATCTGTCACCCTTTCTTTTGCTCACTTTTGTTAATCGTTTGTCCACCATCGCTTGTCTTTAGAATTAGAGGCTCAGACACTGGAGGAATTGAAGCAGCAGAAGGGCTTTGTTCGAGAGCAAAGGAAGCAGTACAAGGAGATGAAGGAGCTGGTTCGCAAACACCACCGCAAAACCAGTGAGCTGATCAAGGAGCACACAGCTCGTGCATCCGAGCTACAGAGCCAGCATCAGCGCCGGCGTTCTGCCCTGCAGAAGAGCCACAAACGAGACGGTAAGAAAAGGTAGGTAGCCCTCCTCTTCTCCACTTCAAACTGTGTTTCCCTTCTGCTCCATCTATCTTCCACCAAATCCACCAACATAAATTACTATCTGTAGCAATAATACATGAGAGCAACTTAAAGGAAAAGTTAGAATGTCAGGAAAATTGAATTACAATATTACGATATCATAACGCAAAATAACTCGTAGTTCTTCTCAACGACACATAATATAAATGGTGTACAGTTTTCCCATCCCTCCTTTCCTTCTTTATTGCCTTCTTTCTGTCTTACATCTACAGAAATATACAATACGTCATCTACATCGTCATACAGCACCTTAAAATCTAGTGTTGCATATCGTATCGCTCCAGAACAAACACTCCAGGGCAGACATCGCCCTCTTCAGAAATAAAAAAAAAAAGAGCTATGACTAGAATAATAATGAGTGGATAAGGCTTCCTCCAAGCCTCGGGGACGCGTTCAGGGCCCTCAGGAGTCCATCACACATTGAAGAATCAGTACTCAGCACGCAGAAAAGATTACAGTCCTCAGCCAGTGTTGACCGCAGAAGGGTACTGCATTAGACAGATAACACATTTCAACCAGATAAGTGCTCTTATTAATGTTTGAAATAACTTCAAACATTAACATCAAGGTTCACAGCAACATTCCCTGAAAAAGTTTTAGACATGGTAGACATGCAGTCATAAAGACATCCATGTGAATATGTTTCTAACGCTTTGATGATAGAAGTTAATATTATTATTTTATGTAAAGATGCATATCACATAATGATACATTAATATAATATGATACATAATTAACAATGTCCAGTTATAGAATGAATTAGGACCACTGTGCTGAAAAAGAAGGAGGGATCTTAATTTGCGGGTGTTCTGATTGATTGTGTGCGGCTGTGTGTTTGTGTGTTTGTCTCCAGTCGGTCCGAACACTCTCTGTCGACCCTGGACCAGGAGCTGTGTGAGCTGGATCAGGAGTGTACACAGAGGCTTGCAGAGCTGAAGGAGCAGCAGCAGCAACAGCTCCTCACACTTCGCCAGGAGCAGTACTACAGCGAAAAGTACCAGAAACGAGAGCACATCAAGCAGGTAGTCAGAAACACACACAACAAATACACACATATATAGACGTGAGGGCAGCTGGGTTGGCTTGTTAAGTAGATAGTATAGCAGCATGGCAACAAATCTGCCTCATACTTTCTGTTTACACTTAAACCATATGTACACTTTTCTTGTCAACACCTGATTTATAGTGTCTTCATTTACTGGCACCACTGACAATACCCTTAATTACCCTTTAAAATGCCATTTGCACTTGCCCAGAGCTTACCACCAGTCAGGGTAGTCCCACATACCTTCCCACATAAGCAGCGCATATAAACATTCATTGGAGTAAAAAGACACTCGTATTATAGCTTGCCCTGATTTCTGTTGGACTGGATAAATCGCTGTCGCTCACTGTTGCGAAGCTCAGAAAGGCTGACACAAACTAATCGTATCATACGAATGAATAAGTGAATGCTGCAATAAACTCCATCTCACCAGGTAGAACATTTTAGCCATCGTTCTGCTGCCTGTGCACATGCTCTGTTGTATGGTGTGGAAAAATAAATGATTTCTGCTCCAGTACACCTGCACATTGAGCACAGCTGAGGTGTCAGAAGGGTTTATTCAAGCAAGAGACAGCAACCATAATGAAGACTGTGCTGTGTACTTGATCAGAATGAATGAAAAACACATAAACTAAAATAATCGATAATTAAAAGCAGATGTTTCCTGCCTCTCTCATTTGACTCTGCTTTGTTCTTAGTGTTAAATTATGACTCTTTTTGTCTCTCTCTCCCTCTCTCTTCCTAGCTGGTTGAGAAGCTGACCACTATAGCAGAGGAGTGCCAGAGTGCTCAGCTCAAAAAGCTCAGAGACATCTGTGAGAAGTAAGACTGTGTTCAGCATGCAGCATGCACGCACATTCACACAAACACAAATGGTTCCCACATTTCCATTCACTCTATATCTTCCTCTTTCTCCTTCTCACCATCTGTAGAGAAAAGAAGGATCTTAAGAAGAAAATGGACAAGAAAAGACAAGAGAAGATCAATGAAGCCAAATCTAAAGACAAAAATGTGACAGAAGAGTAAGTATCTCTACTTGAACATTAATGAGTGACAGTATATGCGACCACTAGATGTCGCTACATACTAAAGATTTAGCTCTGTTGTGACCAGTTACTTGGTTTGACTGTTGATAAAATTCTCCCCACAGAGAGAAGCTTGAGATTAACAGATCGTTTGTCAACGAGGTGGTGCAGTACATCAAACGGGTAAGAGAGGATATGGCCATGCTCTGATGAAGCATATATAATCGCCAATGGTCACATAATTTTCCAATAATGCACTGCATTATGGCATTATTGGAATATTATGTGGTGTTGACCATTTTGGGATTATGTATGCTTCATTCAGAAGTCAAGATACAATTTAATTCAATACATACTTCAAATTTGTATTGACTCCTACGATACACCACTACTTACAGTATTAAACCTTTGTGGGTACAGTACTATTACTGATGACATGCGAAGACCTTATAGTATCTGTGTGTGTGTGTGTAGTTGGAAGACGCACAGACTAAAAGACAGGAGAGACTACTGGAGAAGCACAAGGATATCCGCCAGCAAATCTTGGATGAAAGGCCAAAGGTAAGATGCTTATTAAGATAACATTAAATTTAACTACAATGTGATGAACTCTTGATTTGTGATGTGTTTGTTGATATTGTACACACTGATATTTTTTCATTAATTCCGTCACATGCTCACCATAGCGCTTTTTTTAAGTTACTGGTCTGCTGCATGGCAGGATCCACCATTGGAGTGCACGGCCAGGGGCCCAGCATGCCTTTGAGTGCTTGCATGTGCAAAACAAAATTAAAATACATTTTCCCAGTTGTAACTGGTGTGACTACAATCCAGACATATTTAAACCAGATTTCAAAATAAATAATATGTTAAGATGTTTATTAATCAATATGGGAGCAGAGTAAAGACATATGTTTTACATAGATCTTGGGCCAGTATTTTTCTCTTTTTTATTATGGATGGAAAACATAGATATTTTATATGAATAGAAACATAACTTTGGTTGTCCTTGAACTAAACTGTATCTCTAACTGAACAATGGCTGTCGATGTACACCACTGGGGGGCGGCATGGCCCAGGTTTAGTGAGATATGGCTCTGGCACTTTAGTCCAAAATTGGTCACCCTGGGTTTATATAGCAATACCTTCTGCACTTTATGTGGCTGCATACAGTATAAACAGCATCACTATGTGAAATAGTTGTTTGGTTGTATATTAGTGAAAACGAACATGCTGTGGCTGCATCGGTCCTCGGCTGTTGTTGTTAATGCGCTTACTGGAGTCAGGGTGTGATCCCATCATGCCACTCTGCTATGCTAAATATACATGGAGTTTCAGCATGACTGCTTTTCCCTTATGAGTTGCAAAGTTCCCAACCTTGTCATTGTGACTGTCATTCTAGGACGGTTGTGCAGCTGAAGAGCATGGTAAGACCATTGTTGCATCCCAGTGTTCAGTATTAATACAGAATAAGTGTGGCAGTATTAATATTCAAGCTTTTATACACTTGAGTCTCTGACTGGCAACAAGTGAATGCACATTGCAGCTCTGTAATGGCTGAGGCTTGCTAAGCATTACTACAATACAGAATACTGTATGAATTATTGCAAATATCTTGTGATTTTTTGCTGAAAATCATATTGTATTGAAGAATTATTAGGTGTAGTCTGCATAGCATGGCAACATAACATCATAACAGGGGCAGCAGATTGGCCTGTGTATAGTGTGATCACACCCCAGTTGGAGTGCTCGGATTTAATCCCACGTGTTGATGCGTCTTGAAGCAAAATCCTAGATACCAACCAGAGAGTAAAAGGGAAAGAACTTCACCATTTTGGATTATCAATAAGGTATAAGCAAATCAACTCAACAGTACATTCTATTAAAAGCAAAATGTCTCAGCCACTACAGTAACACTCCCTATCAGGAGGTATAACTATTTCACTTGTAAGATACTTGTAATATGAAACCATTATACTAATAATGGACTAATTTTGTAGTTTGTCATCACCGTAATGCAAATATAATATCATGTAGTACTAGTACATCCAATAAACTGAAGGCAGAATTTCTCTTCATTTCCTCCTGTCTTCTCTTCTTTTCTTGATCTCTTTCAATGATTTTTAATCTAATGCACTCTTAACCATATTACAGCACGCTGCCAGTATAATCAAGATTACCTCTGCTCACCATGGAGACACTCCGATGTGATCCTCCTATCATGTTTTTACTCTTGTTGTCAAATGACATGAGCATAGTGTACATTTATCGTATCTACTCATGAGGTAGTGTATTTTTTTTACAGGACAGGCATGAGTCAATAGTATTCTGTTGGAGAAAGCTGCTTAACTACCCACTCTCAAAGAGAGAGCCCCTTGAGAGAGTTGAGTGTGGGAGATGGAGTATAGACATCTAGCCCAACACCTCATATACAGTAGGTCTTTCACATTTGCCCAAAAATGGCAGCATGGAGAAATCTGTAGTGACACTAAAATACTGGTATACTAGTATGTTAAATACAGAATGGGATGGTAGAGTCAGAGGTGGGAGAGATCTGCTTGTCGTGTAAATCACTCAGGTTATTGAACTGCGTTCCTTTAGATGTGGTCCTGTGGTGACCCTCATCATCTTTTAATAGTTGCTGGAGCATTTTTGTCAATAACACCAGAATTACAATGATTTCATAAGTCAGCACTGATTCACGTTGAGCTGTATGACACAGGATCACCAGGGTCTAATTAGCATTGAATTAGGCCAATTTCCTAAGATGAGAGACAGAGATACTGCTGTTTTCTTGTGCTGATCACTTCAGCGTTCCAATCAGATTTCATTCTGGTAGCAATCGTCGTTTCCCACAAAATTGTAACTGATTATCCCTCACCTAACCCCGCTGTCACAATCACTTCTCTAAATCAACATCCGGAACATGGCTAATTTAATTCGCCTGAAGGAGGCTATTACATAGCAATCAACCATCTCTCCAATGTCTGTTCTCATGCAACAGTAGTCATCATCAGTACGCAAAATATGCAAGAGATGTCAGAGGGCACGACTCTGGAGACAGCTAGCAGAATGCCAAGGGTCATGTCTGTTAAAAAATTCAGGACGTTACCCACAATGCTAGAATAGCAGTTAAAGTTGAGGATGGAGGTTTGTTTAAGATTATGTGTCTAAATGGTATTAATGTGAAATCTTACAAAAAACAATATTAAGTAACCCGGCATTGTTCATACTGCCCTTAAAGGAACAGTGGGTAGTATTTAGTTGAGTATCGATTGTAATTAAAAACACCATTGTATTGTGCATGACCCGCAAAACTCGTGAAAAACGCAGAAAGTCAGCCAATGTGTGGTTTGTCCTTTCTGAAAAACTGTAGAAACATGGTGGACTCAATGGAAGCCGACCAGCGACATCTAAGACTCATTCTAAGTCAACAAAAATACAACAATTCCTATATTTAGAGGATTATACACTAATAAACACTTAACTATGCATATTAAATTCCATTTATGCCTGTAATTCCACCTAAATGTTACACACTGGACCTTTAAATACCTTTAGGAAAGAATACAACCATGCTGTGAAGCCTCACAGTGTCTATTTGTGTCAATAGTTTTTATACTGTAAAATACAGAGGCTATGATAATAACTTTATTTATATAGCACCTTTGAAAAGTGTTTTGACCCGGAGCAAGACAAAAGTTAAACAAGAGAAAAAAGATAAAGGCAAATAAATATGAGAATTCTTTGGATCCAAGGCTGCGAACTGGCTCATATGGGGTTTCTGTTAATTATGCTATGTAGCTTGGGGCCAGACCCAGACGTGCTTTAAAAGTATCAGTAAAATCTTAAAATCAATTCTAAATCAAACAGGGAATCAATGGTTCACTTCCATAACCCCTTCAGATACTCTTCCTCAAATGCCCGTTAATTGTGTTAAGTTAATCAGTATCATAACCAATAGTATCTGATCATCAATAGAATATGACTCTCGTAACATGTCCTGTCAGTTCAGTCGATATATACTTAGAGAGGCAGCACCTCGCTCCCCCAGCAGCACTTACACGTTGCTTACATACAGCTGTGATTTTCCAGCTCCGCCTAATAGCATGTGGAAATGTCCTTAAGCAAAACACTGAACCAAAAACTGCTCCCACTGAGCAGACCAGTGGCCGTGCATGGCAGCTTCAATACTGTGTGTGTGTGAATGTGATGAATATAAACCACTGTAAGCACTTGGCTCTCATAATTAATGCTCCTTGTGAATGCAGTCCATTCGCTATGGTTAAAACTCCCCCAAACTATATTTGAGGCAAAGGGAGATATTGTTGAATTAGCACACAGGAAAACCCTTTTTATTCATTTAGTCCTTGGATGAATGTAAACAACAACAGACAGACACATAAACATAGAAAGCGTAAGGACCAAAAAAACGGATGGAGAGAGCTCCAATGGGGGCTAATGGATGAGGCATAAATAGCCAGGGCAGGGCTAATATAAAAATACTTTTGTTGTGTGTCTCTATGTTATGTGTGTGTCTGTGTGAGTGTGTGTGTGTTAGTCTTTATGAATCAGAGAGCGCAAGATACATCATACTTTCTCTCTCACACAGTTCTGACCCAGTTTCTCCTTTGGGCTCAGAGCAGCCACTAATGGACAGCTATAACTATCCCTGGTGAAGACCCTGAGAGCTGAGCAGCCCACTGCAACAGTAGATGTGTGTGTACACACATGCACATGCATGTTATATACCAACCTAATAACCAGAGCACTACAGCATCTCTGCTATGCAGGCAGGAAAATAGCGGGGAATGCTTTAGGTATTATTTTCAGACTATTTAAAGCTGAATGAATGTAAAATGTGAGAGGTATGCTACTCTGAGCTCTGACTTTAGCATTATTAACAACGTGTGACTTTTGTTAGTAAGACTCTGAAGTTCTAGCTTGTGATACTTCGGGGATCTGGTACTGAATTGAACGAGAAGAGGCGAGAGAAAAAGAGAGACATGGCGAGGTTTGTCGCCACTCCTGGCGTGTGTGCTCTGGTGTCGCTGTCTTGTTAATGATCCAATCAAAATGCCCACCAGGAGTCAGCAGTGCCCAGCGTGATGGCGATTGGTGTTTCGGCACACCTCAAGACCCTATATCCTGGCGTGTCACTTCCTTTCATCTGCCACCTGGTCAAGTTCACATTGCCATATGTCCACCGGAAATTATTCACGCCTCATGTTGATTGTGATGATCTTTTTATCAGTTGTCAAAGTAAGATACCGCTTGTGCTGCTCTTCCAAAAGCTATCATTTGAGCTCAGAGTTTTAACTATTTGATTAGATATGTTAAATGTGACTTGACTAGCACAAAAACATTTGTATTTTTAATTATTTTCCCTGATATAGGAGCTAGTTTGGTATGGCTTTAAGTTTTGTACATCTAACCTGTTCAAATGTGATCAGATGTTTTAACCAAAAAGGACGGATTAAGGTGATCTGGTGGAAGGACTCCATCACAGCCTCTTTGGAGATTTTATGATTCAACTACCACTAAAGGCTTACCAGGCCATGTGGTAGTTCCTCTGTACTAGTCACCCCTTCACACACGCTTTCTTTTTGGCTGCGAAAGCGAAAGTGATAGGGCAATATGTTTCACAACCGTGTGCGTTGGTGTATGTATGTGTGTGTGGTGTGAACGTGCGTAATTCCGTAGGAGACGTGCTCATTCTTTCTTTCTTAAATGAAAAGGGGGGGAAAAAATGGTGTCTTCCCACTGTGCAAGCCTTGAACTAACACACACAGAGCCACACATATATGCGCACACACTCATTCCGTTCCACAAGCAGGAGTCCTGTGCGGTCGTCATGGAAACTCGGATCCCCCACTCTCCCCCTCCCCACCTCTCATATCCTCCTCTACCCTTCATGACTCTCTGCAATCTGTTAATTTGGAACCGAGTCCTCATGACGCAATCCCAAGGATGGTTACTGGAGGTGGAAGAAAGCAGCAGGAGCAAGGGGGGAGGGATAAAGGGAGGGAGGGGGAAAGCAAACAGGTTGGAGGAGACATGGAGGTGTGGAGTTGAAAAGGAAGAGAGCAAGTGTGTGGCCACCCTCTCCCTTCCTCCGTCTCTTTCTATGTCTCACCAGCTCACTGGGTGTTGTAGAGGTGGCCATTGTGTTCACTTATCACAGACTTTGATCTGCATCATCTCTGCCTGGTGGCTTTTGCATCAATAATGCACTTGTAACCATACACACACACACACAC